GTCCCAGGGCAGGGGGCACCAGCAGCGGCCCCTGGGTGAGCCCCAGCCACAGGGCACCCAGACCACGCTGTGCTCACAGCTTGATGAGTAAGTACCCACAAGCGCTGGCACAGGGGGCTTCAGGGGACCGGACTTCTGGGGTGTGACCAGGAGGACAGGGGGAATGTTGATGGAGGGGCCAGGGCAGGTAGATCCCAGAGCTGGGGGGCAGGCAGACCCTGGAGTGCATGGGAGACGTGCTGGGCTGGGGGTCTGGAAACCCTTTCCCTCTGCCTTTCAGTCCCAAAGACCCGAGACCTCCCTATGGGCTGCAGAGCTGAGGTCCCAGCCCTATCCCACTTTTTCCCTTCCTGGGGAAGTTCCCAGCCCACTAGGACAGGGCTGCTCTTCTCAGTAAAGAACACACTGGTGGTGAACAGGGAATCAAACTGGCTGAACACAAAGTTGTCCCAACCCCTGGGATTCCCCCCTCCTCCCCTCACTCCCAATTTCTGCTCTTCAAGAAAGAAAAGAGGGGAGCCCCCCTGCAGTGGGGCAGGCAGAGGGTGGCTGCTGCCAGCCTGGGCTCTGTGGGTTGCCTTGCCCTCAACAGACTGTATCTCTGGGAAGGGAGCTGGTTTTGTCACCCTCCACCCCTCGCTGCCATCAGCGGATGGAGATGGGCTGGCAGGGACACCTGAGCCACTGCACTGCCCTGCCAGCCCGTGCCCTTACCTGGGCTCACATCTGCTGCAAATTACAGGGTGGGTTTTCCCTCCTCTGAGTTCTTAGTAGGATGACAAAATTTGAACTGATTGCTGTGGATTTTAACTTGCCCTCTCTGGTCCAAAAGCCCTCCCGATGCCTAGAGGCAGGAGAGGTTCCTGCCAGCAGGCACAGGCAGAGCTGCTGCCGGCAGAGATGTGCAGGAAGAGGCACCAGCAAATGTTCCCTGTTCTGGGGAAGGATTCACCCACCCTGGGAACACGGGATGGGTAAACGCTGGGAGATGTCTGGGCTCCTCGTGCTCTCTGCTCTGCTGTTCAAGGTTTGCCAGCAGAGAGACACGGATGGGTCCTTCCATCTGGCGGAGCAGCCAGGAGCCGGGGCAGCAGCGAGTGCCCCCCTGCGTCTCCTCTGCCCGCCTTGGCCACTGCCTTCCCTGGGGGTGCAGCCTCTGGCCAGGCACGTGAGCCTGGCACCAGCCCGGCTGTCTGCTGGCACTTCCCTGCCTGGCACACTTTAACCTCCATTTGCTGGACCTCCAGACCTCAGGCAGGGTGCTTTTCACCCAGCTCCAGTCCTGGATCCAATCCTGCTCTGTGCCCACTGAGTCCTTTCCCCCTAGGGCAGTGGATTCAGGTCCCTGTCCCTGTGCAGCTGAAGGGTTGAGCCAGGTGGGTGATGCTGTGTCACATCCCACCCCTCTTCTTGCAGGGCTGAGCATGGCAAAGGGGACAGAGGAGAGGCACTAGGGACAACGGTGCTGAAGGGACCCTTCAGAGCACACACCAACCCAGAGAGGAGCACTTGTGGTCACTGCAGGGCCTGAGGAGTCGGCTCCTCCGTGCTGTTGGTGCTGGAGAGCTGGAGCCAGCTGGGAAAAAGCTCCAGAGCAGCTTGCCAAGAGGCAGCGCAGCCTGCAGGACATGCCTGTGCTCCCAGTGCAGATGGGGACAAGTTCTACCCCCGGGAGGTTTCAGACAGCCCATCAGGAAGGAGAGAAGAGGCTCCTGCAGGCACAAGCCCTTTCCTGGATCTCTGCTCCATCCCTCCCCACAGCCTCTGCATTCCCAGGGCTGGGTGTGATCCCAGGAGCCACAGAGATACCTTTAGCCAAGAAGACGCACAGGGGAGCACCCTGAGCAGAGGGACTGGCAAAAAAATGTGAATTATACTCTTGTCAAATCTCCTCCCTATTTCTCCCTCTCATCCGGGGCAGATGTCTGTGCTTTGGTGCCATTCAGGAACTGGGGGGGTGTGGGGGTGGATGAAGCTGGTGGAGCAGCAGTGGGGGCAGGAGGGAGGGCAGTTTCCACCCCGAGGCCCCCACAGGCTGCTTTGGGTACGTGGGGAGCGGGGCAGGGGGTCAAGCTCTTGCTTTAAACCTCTGTGCTGCTGATGCAGTGAGGAGCAGTGACAGGGCCAGCACAGCCCCGCTGAGGTGGCTGCCACACGGGGACTGTGGGGATAATGCTGGTTGTAAATATGTCCCAGGGACTGTAAAGTTTTTGTACTGGTTTGTCTCCCCCCACCCTCCGTGTGAAATAAACCTTGGAAACCCTGCAATGCCTTCAAATCTGTGCTGAGCAGAGGAGTGATTCCCCAGGGGCTGCCCAGGGCTCAGGGAGCATCTCCCCTGCCGGGGCTGTTGGCACCACCATCCCACCATAATTCAGGGGTTTTGTACCACTGTGAACATTTGCTTGGGAGAGGCAGGGAGCCAGGAGGATGCCTGGAGCACTAGGACATCCCAGGCTGCCCTGACCACTGTGTCCCTCCCCAGAGCCCGTGCAGAGCTGCCCAGTGCCACCTCCTGGCGCTTCAGCACAAGCAGGTCCTGCGTGTCCCCAAGCCCCTCCATGGCCTCCTCCTCCTTCAGGTGCCTGCAGTGACAGCTGAGGGGACAAAGCCCAACACCAGCCCTGTTCATTAGCCCTCCCAAAGGCCCCGGGCAGAGGGTGCAGGGGACCTGTCCCAGGGAACAGGGGACCTGGAGTGTCATGTCCCACTCACAAGGTTGGTGTTCTTGTCTCCAACCAAGGTGCTAGGCACTCCCATCTAAACCATGCTAGAGAGGCTGGACCAGATGATCCCTGTTCCCTCCCAGCCTGGGATTTGTGTTTTAGGACAAAGTTTGCTCAAATGGAGTGGCTCCTACCTTCAGGCTGGTTTTCTGTGCGTCCTGGGGCTGGGATGAGAGGTGCTGGGTGCATTGGTTCCACCTGCTCTCCAGAAGCACCTGCACTGCGTTCACATCCTGCACCCCCTTGGGCTTTATTAGCCACCAGCACTGGGTGCTGCTCTCCTTGGGTGCAGGCTGCTGGGCTGGGGGTCAGCTCCTTATGAGCTGGGCACACTGCTGTCCTGGCTCTGGGCTTTTGGGACTGGGGGGTTTGCTCTTGGTGCTCCAAAGTCACTTTTCTTCCCTTATGTTTCTACTCCAGAGCAGCTGTTTTCTCCAGTGCTTGTTCCCCAGGAGCTGGTTTCTGCTGCTGGTGTTGGCTCTGCTGTGGGGGATGAGCAGCTCTTCTCCCTTCTCTGTGTTGCTGTCGAAGCAGCCAGTTGTTGCCCTGTGGGGTACGGAGCTGCCCACCCTGGGCTGCTGCAGTGGGATCTGCAGGGAGCGAGTGGGGGGACAGTGGCTGTGCCCTGTGGTCACCTGGGGTGGGTGTGCATGGGGCAGGAATTCCCCTTTCCCACGGGAAGTGCGTGGGGAAAACCTCCCCTTGGCTTTCAGCCTGCCTGAGGGGCAGGGGGCACCGGCTGTGTCCCTGCAGGCTGCCAGCTGGACACGGGCACCCGGAGCTGCCTGGTGAAGGAGGACGATGACTTCCTGGAGCACCTGATCCTTTTTCATGCTGAAAAGGGTGAGGGTTGCCAAGGAGGCTGCTGGCTGAGCCCCCTGCCACGGGGTCTGTGCTGGGCTCTGCAGGTCTGCCTGGGGGGCTGAGGCCCAGGATGAGCTGCACATGGTGGCCGTGGATTCCAAAAACACCTGTGGAGACAAACCAGTGCCCCTCGCGGCGCTGCGGGCCTCGCTGCTCCCCACGGTAAGGGCAGCCCCTGGCTGAGGGGCAGCAGTGTCACCCTGGGCTGGCCTCAGGGGTCTCTGAGCTCCAACTCTTTGCAGATCAGCCTCAGAGGTCTGGAGCTGCTCCCTCCCGTCACCTTCGTGCTGCAGTGCGGAGCTGGGCCGGTCTGTCTCAGTGGGCAGCTCATCGCCTGTGAGTGCTGGGCTTGGGTGGAGGCTGGGGGGCCCTGGGGATGTTCCTGGCTCCCACAGTGACTTTGGTGGCAGCTGGTGCCCCCAGCAGGGCTGCTCCCCTCTCTTGGGGGGTCAGTGCTGTCCGTGCTGGCTCTCAGGTCTGTCATGAGAGGGCTGGTGGCCAAGCTGCTGCTCCAGGTGTGGGGTGGGATCACTGTTCATGTGTGCAGGGGGGTGTTCACCTCCCTCAGGGGGTCAGGCCACCCCTCCTGCTGCAGCCCTCTATCTCCTCCCCAGTGGAACTTTATGCCAAGACCAAAGCCCACGAGGAAGAGCCTTCAGATGAAGATGTAAGTGACGAGGATAATGATAGAGCACCCTAGAAAAGCTGCAGCTTGGGGCAGACTTAGCAGTTCTGGGAATGGAGATGACATGATGGTGTGGACACCAGGAGCTGCCAGTGCCTTGTGCCAAACAGGATGGATCCTTGCAGTAGCACATGAACTGTCTGAGCTTTGGATATCATCCCTTGTCTCCTCTCCCTGCCCCCTCCACTCCTACCGTGCTCCCAGAAATGCTCTTTGCCTCTTCTATTGCAGTAACAATAAAAAAAAGTGCAAACACCTTGGAGTTGGGCTGTGCTGTGCTCTGTGCCAGACTTCTTGTCTTCTGTCTTGTCCCTCCTTTCCTGCCTCCTCTCAGGAAAATGTATTCCACAATGGCCCTGATGCTTCAGGTTGTGCTGCTCACCAGGGGTCTGGAGCCTTGCTGAATCCACAGGGCAAAATCATGTTGCTGTCTTCACAGCAGCCCAGGAAACGCAGCCAAAAGCTCCCCCAGAGCAGGCAGTCACTGAAATAACAGAATTAAAAATACTAATAAAGAAAATTGCCCAAATCCATTATGCACATGCTATTACCTGGCAGGGAGGTGGACTTTGAAGGGGAGCCCAGAGCCTGCAGGCAGGGTGGGCTGGGAAAGGGGCACACTGGTCTTTTTTTTTTTATTTTCCCCACTTATAATACAAAAATAGACGAGCTGGTGGGAAGGTTGCTGCCGTCACGCTGTAATTGCCTGGGAGAGGCCAGAGATGGGCCTGGGTGACACCAGAGCCAGCCCTGATGGGCTGCAGCCTGGCACACGTCAGCGGCCGGCGTGGGCTGTGCCAGGGCTCGGGGTGTGAGGGGACACAAGGGGACAGGGCTGCAGGGTGGCTGCGCCCCGGGAAGGGGCTTTTTTTTGGCAACAGGTCCTTCAAGGCAAGTGTGGCCCCTGAGCCCCTTCCCTGGGTTTGAGGGACAGGGAGCAGGAAGCTGCTGCTGTGCCAGCCCCAGGCCCTGGGGGTGAGAGAGGGGGGAGAGCAAAACTGCAACGAGCAATTCACTCATCCAGCTCTTCCCTGCCCTCACCTTGCTCCCAGCACACCGGCTGCACTTGATACTTCTGCAGAGAGGAGCAGAGCCACGACTGCTGCGTTTCTCGTCAAAACAGGTGATTTGGGCTTATTTTCTCCTTTGGGACTCCCTGCTGCCCAGAGCTGGTCAGGGTGGTGATGCCTTTCCTGAGGGGTGCGGGGGCCAGAGTGTGCTGCACGATCTGGGGGGTGATGCAGCCCCTACTGCCCATCCTGGGGGGGTTCTGTGGGTGCTGGGTGCAGGCAGGGGTGCCCTCTGCCCAGAAGCAGGAGTAAAGGCTGAGGAATTCATCACTCCTGATTCCTCAGGCAGGAATGAAGCTGGGAAGCCCCTGAATGCTGCTGCCTGGCGAGGTCCAGCAGCTGAATTCAGACATTAAGCCCTATAAAGAAATCCATAAAGAAAAGAAAAGAGGATTAAGGTCAGTGCCAGCAGGTTTGCACAGTGCCCTCTTCAACCCCAGAGTGTGCCAAGGGGGCACCCGGCAGCAAACTGCACCAGCTGCTGTTGCAGTGCTGATGGAGAAACTCCCCAGTGTGGGGACAGGAGTGTCACCCTGCACGAGCCACAGCCCCTTGCTGGAGTCTGGTCTTGCTGTCAGGGCAGCATGAGACCCCAGAGAACCATGGCTGGAGGCAGTGGTGGGAGGGGTGGGTGCTGGGGAAATGCTCTGTCCTCCTTCCCGCAGCCACACGCTTGCCCCACGTGTGGCAGCATCTCCTGCAGGGCTGTGGCAGAACCGTGGCAGCTGCCAGGTAATGAACAGGTAAGAGTCCCAATGTCACGGGGACAAAACAGGCACAAACAAGAGTGTGCCCAGCTGGCACAGGATGTGGCCCTGGGCAAACTGCACGGGGGGACAAGCTTGATGGTGCTGGCCTGGGCAGTACCACGGTCCCAGCCCCAAGTGGGGCAGCACCCCTGCCTGGCTGGGCTGGGAGCAGTCTGGGGGAGCTCCAGCTGTGTGCACCCCCTCCAGATGTTCACACCCACAACCCGCAGCCCAAAGGAGCTGTACAAGGCCCCCCCCCAGGGAGCCAGGACTCCCCCCAGGCTCTGTGGAGATGTTTGTGCTTTTCTCTGCTCCAGGATGGCTTCACACCAGCCACAGTCTCTCCTGCTGTTTTGCACGAGCACCCAACTAATAAATGCAGGAATGTTGGTTTATTTTGTGCATAAGTGGCCAATTACTCGATGCATGAGCACCCCATTAGTTCACCCATGAGTAAGCAAATCTCAGCACCCCATTGATGTCCATAAGCACCCAGTTATCTCCAGTGTGGAGCAGAAAGAGCAGGAGGAGGCCTGGGTCTGGGGACAAGGGAGGCATCTCCCCAAACATCTTTTAATTATTTACATTTTCTGCTGTCTCTATGCCCATGCCAAGCACTAGAAGCTTGCATTAACTGCAATAAAATAAAATAAGTCATATTTTGCCCAGTTGAAATCGTTTTGCCCGGATCCCCCTCTGTGCTGGCAGAAGGGGGGCACAGCTGAGCTGCCTGGCCTGGCAGGAGACTACTAGGGGGGCCCACTCCCCTCTGCACCCCCAAAGCCAGAGCCTGCCCAGCCTTTAACTGCTGCTGGATGGCACAATGTAATTCTTTGCTGCAGGTGCATCCTTTGGAAATGCTGCCCTTGGTTTGGGGAGGTGCGTGGGTCTGAGGATGTCTCAGGAGGGGCCCCCTGCACCCGGCAGTTTATTTATGGGGGGAGTTTCACCTGCTGATGCTCAGCTGGCAAAATCCCTCCCCAGGCAGAACAAAGAGCAGCATGGGGCTGGCTGGCTGGGAGGGGAGGCAATTGCAGGGCTTTGGATTCAGCAGCAGCTGTTTGCTATGAGGGACTTTATTCTGAAACACCTTTTCTGCCTCCCAAGGCACTGGGTGAGGTGGGTGCCTTGCACAGGGCAGGGGGAAGCAGGTGGGTGCAGGGAAGTCAGTAAAAAACCCCAATTAATGCAAATTGGGACTGTGGAGCTTTTGGGGGAGCTGCTGAAGGGTGAAATAACATCTGGTATAGAGAGAAATAATAATCAGGGCAGCAATCCTGTGCTGGTAAAGAGTGGGAGCTAATATATGGAAATAGCCCTGGAAATTAAAGTGGGAGAGCAGCAGGTGTGAGATGATTCAGGGGGAGGAAGGGAAGGCTGCACAGGGGGTCCAACAGGGAGCACTGACCTTGCTGCCCAAGGGAGGGACCTGTCTGCCAGGACAGATCTAATTTTTACCCCTGAATTTTCTCTTTGACCCCATCCCATTCCCTCAGCAGCCGATTCCAGGAGCACCTGGCGTTGCTGTGCCAGTGGCCATGGGAACACTGTGGCTGAGCCCCCCAGAGCAGCCCCCAGCCCCTGGCTGCCAGCCCTGGCACTGGAGGAGACCCTGGGTAATCATGTTAGGGGATGAAGAACCAGCTGCAGGCGCACAAGGCTTTGAGGCAGTGCAAAATTAGCAGAGCATCCTTATTTGCTTATCCATTAATGACCTTCGTTATTTCCAGAAACATTAGGAGCGATTTTCTGGCTCAGCTGCTGTTTCCCTTCTCCTTCTGCCAGCAGCTGCCCCGGGGCTGCTGCAAACACCCCGTTTCAAGAGGTGTTGCTGAGGCCGGGCTGAGGTAAGTGATTCCCACAGGCCCCTTTCTCCTTCTCCCCTTTTCTGCCCGAGCTGTCAGCACAGCCCAGCCCGGGGCTGCCTGTCCCTCCTGGCACAGGGCTGCTCACCAGCATCACTTCATTTCTGAGCCTGGTTTCCCCCCCAGGAACCTGCAGGACAAAGCCACGATCCTGAGGAGCCTCCCCAGGGGTGGAGCAGGGTCGGTGCAGCTGCGGGGGGCACAGACACAGCAAAGCCCTGACGAGGAACAAGGATGTGTCCCTCGGATGCCTGAAACCTGCAACTGACAGATTCTGGGGTGCTGAGGCTGGGCAAAACGAGGGGGTTCTCAGGTGTCAGTCACAGCCATGGAGGGGGACACGGCCAATGCCACCATCCACAAGCTCTCCCTGCAGAATGGCCCCAATGCCAGTGCACAGTTCACTGGGGTGCAGCTCATCCAGTCCTTCAAGCCCCTCATCATCCCCTGCTACACCCTGGTTGTCCTCGTGGGCATCTTCGGCAACTACCTGCTCCTCTACGTCATCTGCAAGACCAAGAAGATGCACAACGTCACCAACTTCTTCATTGGGAACCTGGCCTTCTCTGACATGCTGATGTGTGCCACCTGCGTGCCCTTCACCCTGGCCTACGCCTTCAACCCCCAGGGCTGGGTTTTTGGGAAGTTTTTGTGCTACTTTGTTTTCCTGATGCAGCCCATGACAGTCTATGTCTCCGTCTTCACGCTCACGGCCATTGCTGTTGACAGGTAAGTGGATGGTGTTGGGGTCTGTCACCCCCCCTGGGTCCCCTCAACCTGCTGTTTGCTCTGCTCGGGGTGTTAAGTGCCAGATACTCAACATTGGAAAAGGGAAAAATGGAGGGGATCTTTGCAGTCCCTCTGCAGCCTTTAGCATCAGGGCTTGGTCACGGCTGGTGGAAGCAGTGGGCAGTGTTGGGCTGGCCATGGGGTTCCACTGGGAAGTGGTGATGTGTGGTTTCCTGCCTGCCTGGATGCAGCCACCTCTACGGAAACCCAGCTCCATGCTCCTGGCACTCTGGCACAAGGACTTGCTGGAGTTTGCAGCTGGCTTGTCATGCTTTGCTGGATAAACCTGCACCCAAATCACATCCCGTTCTGGCCCCAGGGTGGACAGCACGTGTGCTTCATGGGGGGGGTGGTGGTTTGTGTGGTGGTTTCCATGGAGACCTCATCTCCTGAAAGGGGCTTCGAACCCTGGGGGGACTGGTGTGATGCCAGCAGCACTGGAAGTGCCTCTCTGTGCTGCAGAGAATGGGGCAGAACAGTGAGGGGAAGGGCAAAAGAAAAAAAAGGAGGATTTGAGCAGAGTAGCTGAGAAAGCTGAGACTGCTGGTGGAGCTGTGCTGCCCCACGGGCTTGGGATGTCCCCAGGAGTGCTGGTGGTGTTGAGTTCCTTCAGCAAAGCCACTTTTTGGGGTGAAAATGATTCGCTTGTTTCTCCAGGTTGTACCAACCTCAGCAAGTTCATAAAATGTCACTGGAATTTGTCCCGAAGGATGATTTTAGCCTAAGGGGGGAGCATGAGGCCATGCCCGGGCTCTGCTGGTCTCAGACTTCAGCACGAGCCCGTGAGCAAAGCACAGGCTGAGCTGCCCGTGGGCACGAGGCTGCACATGGCACAGCTGGACGTTGCAGTGTGACGTGGTACGTTGTGTGTCACAACACTGAGAGCAAACCATGCCAGGCCACGGGCTGTGCCAGGACCGAGCTGCTGCTCTCCGAAAGAGCCGCACAAAGTGGAACCACAGCCCAGCCAGCCCTTGCCCTGGGCTCTGCCACGTCTCTCCCCACAGGTACCACGCCACCGTGCACCCCCTGAAGAAGCGCCTCTCGGTCACCAGCTGCATCTTGGTGGTGGGGGGCATCTGGCTGCTGTCCTGCGGGCTGGTGGCCCCCGCCATCGCCCACACCTACCACGTGGAGTTTCGGCAGGAGGGCTTTGCCATCTGCGAGGAGTTCTGGATGGAGCAGGAGGCGCAGCGCCTGGCCTACGCCTACGGCACCCTGATCGTCACCTACATCCTGCCCCTCTCCGCCGTCTCCCTCTCCTACATCTGCATCTCAGTGAGGCTGAGGAACCGGGTGGTGCCCGGACACCCCACGCAGAGCCAAGCTGAGTTTGACCGCCTGAGGAAGAGGAAGATCTTCCGCCTCATCGTGCTGGTGGTGGCAGCTTTCGGGGTCTGCTGGCTCCCCATCCACGTCTTCAACATCATCCGGGACATCGACATCAACCTCATCAACAAGCACTACTTCCTCCTGATCCAGCTGCTCTGCCACTGGTTCGCCATGAGCTCCTCCTGCTGCAACCCCTTCCTGTACGCCTGGCTGCACGACCGCTTCCGCGGCGAGCTCCGCAGGATGTTCTCCTGCAAGAGGAGGGTCCTCCCCACCAAGAACTGCGGGGCCGCCGCGCTCTGAGGCTGGGGTCCTGCCCCCCAGGCCCCCCGTGTCCGTGCGCATCACCCTGAGCTTTCCTTGCCGCTGGGAGATGCTGCGGGACGGGAGGCACACGGAGCCCCGCGGGTTTGCGGCACCTGCAGCACCTGCCCCGGGCCTGCCCTGCCTCGGGGTGCTCCGCTCTGCTCCCCGAGCTCCTGTCGCCTCCAGGACAGGAGCAAAAACGCATTTGTTACAGCTTTTCTCTCCAGAGTCACTGCAGTGATCCCCAGCTGCACACCTGGGATGGGATGGGGTGGGAGGGGGAGCAGAGCTCCGGGAGGATGCAGCGCCCAGCCCTGCGCTGGGTCGTTATTGTGAATTAACGAAGGAAATGGGCCCACGGGGAAGAGGTGAGGAGCGCTCGGCTGGGCCCTGGCTGGGAACAGGTACCTGCTTCATTAAACGAGTCCCACAGCTCCCTGAACTGCCTGCTGGCTGAGGGAAATGGCAGCTCTGCGAGGTTGGGTTCGGGGAAGCGCCGGCGCGCGACACCTGTACACACCTGTACTCCTGTAGGTACACCTAAACACACCTGTACATACACCTCTGTACATACACCCACCCACACCTGTACATACACATGTACACACCTGTACACCTGTAGGTACACCTGCACACACCTGAATGTACACCTGCACACACCTGAAGGTACACCTGTACACACCTGTACTCCTGTAGGTACACCTAAACACACCTGTACATACACCTCTGTACATACACCCACCCACACCTGTACATACACATGTACACACCTGTACACCTGTAGGTACACCTGCACACACCTGAATGTACACCTGCACACACCTGTACATACACCTGTACACCTGTACTCCTGTGCTGTGTGTACCTACGCCTGTAGGTACACCTACACACACCTGTACGTACACCTCTGTACATACACCCGCACACACATGTACATACACTTGTACACACCTATGTACACACCTGTACACCTGAAGGTACACCTGCACACACCTGAAGGTACACCTACACACACCTGTACGTACACCTCTGTACATACACCCGCACACACCTGTGCATACACATGTACACACGTGTACACCTGAAGGTACATCTGCACACACCTGAAGGTACACCTGCACACACCTGTACACAGACCTGTACACCTGCACACACCTGTACATACACCTGTACACACCTGTATTCCTATCTTCACACACCTGTAGGTACACCTGCACACACCTGTACATACTTCTACACCTGCACACACCTGTACATACACAGGTACACACCTGTAGGTACACCTGCACACACCTGTAGGTACACCTGCGCACACCTGTACATACACAGGTACACACCTGTACAACTGCACGCACCTGTACATACACCTGTACACACCTGTACTCCTGTAGGTACACCTACACACACCTGTACGTACACCTCTGTACATACACCCGCACACACCTGTGCATACACATGTACACACGTGTACACCTGAAGGTACATCTGCACACACCTGAAGGTACACCTGCACACACCTGTACATACACAGGTACACGCCTGTAGGTACACCTGCACACACCTGTACATACTTCTACACCTGCACACACCTGTACATACACAGGTACACGCCTGTAGGTACACCTGCACACACCTGTAGGTACACCTGCGCACACCTGTACATACACAGGTACACACCTGTACAACTGCACGCACCTGTACATACACCTGTACACACCTGTACTCCTGTAGGTACACCTGCACGCACCTGTGGCCGCTGTCCCCGCCCCTCCC